GGGGATACCGACCACCTGCTGCAACAGAACATCGGTCGCCCTGGTATAGGTGTGCCGAAGCTCTACTTTCACAAAACCCAAGATATCGAGCAGCTGTAGTCGTCTCCAATGATCACCGCCTGTTGTGGAGCCAACCGACGCTCCTTTCCCTCTCGAATTAACTCTGATAGATGTCCTTCCTTTAGACAGATGAAAATCCACAACCCACTCAACAGCCCGGATTATATCCGCATGCGGCAATTTACTGAACATCTCCTTAATGTCAAAGGAGAAAGTCGAAACAGAATACCCAGGTCCCAGCCGCGCAATAGGCTTGTTGATGGAACAAAGGCGCTCGGCCAGGCAACAAACGGCGGGTAGGTTGAAGTGCCAACTCCGTGGCAAGGTGGACAACAGATGGTTCAAGGCTCGTGAGACAATGCGTCCGGTTCGAACCATTGGTTCATCAAAGGTCGGGCAAATCGGTCTATACTTACCCAAGTCCTTGTGTTTCGGCAAAATATAGGCCGAGCCAAATTTCCCCGTACTTTGCCAACTTACAAACTTCTTCAGTCCGGAATCGTTAATCTCCTCCCGGATCTCCCTCAAAACCTCATGCTCGGGTGAACTCACAATTCTGTACCCAGGGTTGCACACAAAGGTCGACATCATTCCCGCAAAAAACAGTGCAGGACACATCACAAGTGTTTCACCGGGATTGCGWTCCACAGGCGAGASTACCAGCCCGTGGAATCTTTCCTTCACATCRAGGACCTGGCTCAGATATAGGCAGTACCTGGAATCTAAGACCTGTTTCGACATGCACGAGGATAGGACGTCCACAGAGACCYGAGGTGGCTTGCTATGACAATTCACCCATCCATCGAAAMCATCGGCAATTTYMTGCTRCAAMGTCAGAATCCTATCTTCCCTAAGCACCCGCGGAACATTCTTCGCATTATGCAAAAGAGGGTGGATTCCTTCCAAACTACTGAGTCGAAAACGGACATGACCTTCCTCACGTGGGAAAGGCAAACCTTCACATGTACAGGTGAGCACACGCCGAGCAGCAAAGGCTCGATGATTGTGTACTACCTCCGCGGTCGATGGAGTCTTAGTCCAAACGATAATGACCTTCTTCCGAGTTCGCTTCAGAAAGCATCGGGGCAATCCACATTCCATCAAGCTATCATTAACCACCTTCCGAACCTCAGAAATCCTTATACGTTCGTCAAACTTTATACGAAAAATCGGGTCAGCCCTGATACTCAAATTGAAACGGTCCAGAAAAATCCTGGAGATCAGCTGTCGCAGGTACTTCYGTGTTGACTTTCGAGAGAAATCCTTGATGACATTGTATACACGAAGCAAAGATCTAATCCCCCAGCCATACAAGTCAGTCAGTTTAGCCGGGTTCCGTAAGATACCAATCAATACAGATTTCAGGAAAAGACAACGATGCTGCCATTTACAAATATGCACAAATTCAAAAGTTCCCCCGTTCTCAAAATCCTCCTTACATTCCTTCAAGCGTCTCATGTCGTGACCAACCTTTACTTTCACTCCCCTAACGCTTTCCGAATGGACTTCCAACCACCATCCCAGATACTCCCGGGAGATACACAGCAGGTAAGATTACCCTTACCTTTCGACAACCACTCATCTAACAGTCGATACAAGCTCAAGGTCCAGGGGTCAGACGCGCTCGCCCGAAGTTTCAGCGGTTCAATAGGTCTTGGGATACAGTCAGTACGGCTAACACCGCACCTAGCTGCTCGCTCCCTCCGTCCTAACTTCGGCTTCTTACGTTTAGACCCCTTAACCATCGCAGTATTCAAGAACGGAGACCATCGTCCTATATACAGTTTTTCCAAATTAACCAAGTCCGCTCCGTCAAACAGATCAACTGGCATCAGCACGTAGTTCCCGACACCGAAGGAACACATCCAACGGTGGAAGTGAGTGCGGTGGCGGACCCGACACGAGTAGACGTGCTCACGCCATGTAATATCGACGTTGCGAGTAGTCTTCCCAACATATAGCGCCTTACAGTAGGGTGACGCACCAATATACACACTGTTCGACAAGCGCAGAAACTCCAACCCATTCTCCTCATAGAGTTTTAGCCACGATTTGATACACTTGCGTAACCAGCGGATCTCCCCAACAAGCGCAAGCCGCAACACCACTAATCGCAATAACTCCTCAGACGTTCGGTCAAAAACCAATTGACTACGACAAAGTGTAAGAAATCTACACAGTTTCCATACCTGCGGCGTCTCCAACACTCCTCAAGCCTCTGCACTAGGGCGGTCGCCCCCAAGGTCTTCGGAGACTGCAGAAGTCTCCGAGTCATCAACGTGGATGATTTCCGCACCGCCCGCCCCCAGAGCGGCAAACTTCATCATGGTCCGATGATCGACAATGTCAAAAACAGCATCAATCTTACCGTTATACTGCACACCTTCTTCTTTACACAGCTTCTGCAGCTCGATGGCGTCCTTGCCCTTCAAATCGTTGATTTCCTTGTTTCTGTAGCGTAGCCTCTCGAGCGCCCCATGCGTGAAGGGAGTACCTCTTGGCGTTGACGATGTCCTCTTCCTTGCAGATCGGGGTGTCCTTCTCTGACTGACAGGAGTCTTGACAGGGGTTCTACGGGCAGGGGCCTTGCCAGGGGATCTCATCAATAGTGTCTTCCCTGGAGTCTTCTTCGTCCTTAACCGAGTCAACCTAGTGGTCAACATAACCGGCTTCAGGTTCCCTCTCTTCGGCGTCCGTTTGGGAGGCATCTCCATCGGGGGGCTGCCCTCGAAGACCGGTTCAGCTCCCCTCTTCCGCTTCTCTGAGATCGACAACTTCTGTGTACGCGCGCTCAAATCCTGAGTTACACTGGTATCACTGCCACTGCCATAGTCGGGTTCCGAATCGCTAGCTGAAGGGTAATGAGCCTTCTTMTTCCCTTTACCCGTCGTAGCAGCGTACAGAGGCCCAATAGCCTGTTCGAAACGCTGGAACCAGTTCTCTTCCATTTCATTTAGCTTAACGGCCAAATGAATATCGATGTCCTTCTTCATCTCAGCCCGACGCTCATTCTCAGCATCCGCAGCCTTCCRTTCCTCCTCCGCTYTTTTTCTCGCTTTCTCCGCAGCTCTCGCCTTCCACTCTTCTTGTCTAGCTTTCTCCTCTTCCTGCCTTTCCTTCTCCTCCTTCTGCAACCGCTTCTTCCGGGCTCTCTCTTCCWTCCGCTGATTCTCTTTTTCCACGAATTCCTGCATCACCGCAACCAATTCGCTCAACTTCCACACAGTCGAGCGCACTTTCGCCTCTCGGTCCGGTGTCCCATGCCTTCTTCGTGCGTCRTGGCGTTGCGGGGATCTTGAATCCCGTGAAYTGGTTGATGTCGACGGCCTTGCAGAATACTGTCTCCGATTCCTATGAGGGCACTGATTTGCGTAGTGCCCCTCCTCATTACAATTAAAACAAATAGGCGGCCTGTATCTCCGCCTCTCTTCTCCACCCCCCGCCGGGGGACCGACTCCATCGCGCGGCTCGTTATTYGACATCCTTGTAGGGCTCGCTGGCGTCCTTCCCGCCACCAATGTTCCGCTCCTCAATCTGGYGTCGAACACGATGCACCTCACTCGTCAAATAACATTCGTACCAATGTCGTAACCTGTCGTAGGTGACTCACGCTCACTGTGCCCGACAACTTGACTCCAGGTAAGTTCACGTGTGCGATCGCAAGTAGAAAACATCACACTTTTAAGATTMAGGTGAAACTTGAAGAAAGCAAGCAAAGCTTCAGTTGTTACAAATGGAAGAAGTATCACAGGATGGCGTCCCCGACGCGTTTCGACGGCTGCCAGGCCGTACTCATCAGRGGGTTATCCTCCTACGAACCCACACTAGTCAAACTTCCCCTCACCCGCTCCCGTTCCACCGCCCAAGCTGGCTTCCGGACACCAGCGGGGCTTCCGAAACGTTAGTCCTGACTAACAACTGTCAACGCCTGCTTATATGGTAAACAAACATCAAACACTCCCGTTGGGAYAGACCCAGGTGCGGGATGACCTTCGAGAGGCGTCCATTCCGAACTAAAGATAAACGAAAAGGAAAGCCGAAAAAAATCCATCGACAAACCCGAGAGAACCAGCAGGCCCCGCCGCKGGGCTCACATGTTCAACCCCARGAAAACCGGTCCAGGAACCTATGCAACAKATGAAAAGGCACGGACGGTAAGCCCTATCCKAGGGGTTCATATGTTCAAAAGCCAAGACAACCGAATCTAGAAGCCTACCCTGAAAACAGAGCAACTCYGGGTGCAAMAAAACAGTCTAGAACCCTACAYGGARACCCGAGCAACTAYAGGTGCAAAAAATCTACAGAAAGCAAGCCCTGTCCGAATATGGTAAAAAACACTRTGSCTWCAAAACATCGACAAAACCATACTTGTGCAAACAAAACACAGACATCCTACCAAAGAAAGCTCCGGGGCAATTCCGAACGGACTGGATTGCACATCCACTCATCAT